GTGGCCCACGGGGCGCCGCTTCATCGGATAGATCTCCAATCCGTGCTTGCAGTAGAGTGAGGTTCGACTCCTCGGGCGCTTTTTTTATTAGATGAAGTCGCTCCCGCGGGGGAGCATCTATCAAGTCCTTCCTGAATTTTCTCCTCCCTTTCTCCGGTCACTCTGTCTACCATCTCTACACTTCTGACCGGTAATTCGTTGCAATCTACGGCTCGCGCGGTTCTCTCTCTTCACTGTAAACAGTAAAAGCACTACATTTTAGTGCGTAAGCACTAATCTATGGATTTAGGCACTAGTATCAAGTGTTTTGAAAAATAGTGCTTTTCCGTGCACTTTAATTTAGTGCCTCCAAGGCACTAATTTCCCGAGCACTTCATATCGGTGCATGCTTTTGTTTTTTTATCTTATCTTGATCTTATCGACTCCGTGATGTCCGTTAGTGGTTGTGCGGGCGGCGATCACCGAGTGTAAGTCCGTATTTGGCCTTCGCGGCTTTGCTCCCATCTGGCTGCTGCTAGTCCTCTTACCTTTCTTTTCTGGTATTCTCAAGCCTACTGTCCAACCTACACACACACGTGGTACCACACAAAAAAAGTTTGCCCCAGGATCCGAAGTTCGACCCCGACTCTCGGAAAATCCGAGATGAGCAGGTTCTCCCCACTGCCGACTTTATTGAATATGTTCTCGTCCCTGATGTTGCCGACTATCTCATTGCGCAAGATATATTTGTTCCTGTCATCGAAGCAATCGACACCAAGAATGATAGCCAAGATTTTGGTGAACGATTCCCAGCACTCGTCTCGCTGATAATCGAGCACCCTGTCCCTTTTGGAGAACTTCAGCCCCCTGCAAGAGTGGAGTCTCAAACCTTCCATCTTGCCACCTGCGGCAGCCTGCTCCTAAGTTTATCCGAGTTTCGTCACCTGTTCTCTCAGCTTCGAGACACTCGCATCTTCATTTCTCCCCAACAGAAGGCCGAAAGACCGCACGGAACTCAGCAGCGCGGTAAGAAACACAACCGAAACCCAAATCCACAATTGGTTCGAAGTCGAAAGAGGTCAATGAAATAGCAGTGCGTGACTCTGAAAGGTTAGGTCCACTGCACCAATGCTGCTTCAAATACTTGTACAGTGTGGAAAATTACAGAGAGAAAATCCAAACTTGCCGAAGACTAGGTGGCCGTTGATCAGGCCCGCGGTATACCACTAGAAGCTCTGCACGAGCCGCCGCTGTCAATGGTGCCGGAAAACTAGCTGTTACCTATCTCCTACGATTTCACAGGTAATTTCCTTCTCCCATTGACTCCCATACTTGACTGCTACTCTCCACTGACCATCATGTAATTATTTGCTGTCGACTTTCTCAAGTAATGATACTAATATAATTCCCAGTGAAACTGTGTCCGTAACTTGGTCCGTAAAGATGGGAGGTTCCATGAATAGTTCTGAGAATATTTCAGTGCAGATAAATTTCCCATTTTATGACTATGAACTAATCCCGGTGAAGGAAATTGAGACCGAGAATATTTTATTGATCGTGCGCGCACCACCACGAGATTGTTTGTGCATATTAGAGACAAAGGCGTCGATTTCAAACTCCGCTCATCTCCTCCTTCTCCCATCGTCGCGCTCTCTCATGCCCGCCTTGGCTGTTTCTGCCCACAAGTCTCAATTCGGTAGGTTCCATGCACCCTATACTCTGCGCCAGTGGCTCTCTGACCCCATCCAAGGCCATTCTCGCCCAATAACGCGCGAATATGGCCTTTTGGTGGCATCCACCAACAAGGACGCGTCCCCGAAGCAATACGCGCTCAACACCGCTGAAACTCCGTCGGAGCCCTGCCAGTAAGTCATTATACTGCCTACGGTACCTTTCTTAGCCCCCTCGCCGCGAATGGACTCAAACCAGGGACCCCGGCGAGTGGGCGACGAAAAAGGGCTGTGCCAGGGATTATATCAAATCCATCTTACTGACGGCCCTCTCTGGTCTCTCTAGTGGGCTCTCAATTGATGCCGCGCATCTTGATAGCTTGTTCAGAGTCGGCATTGGCGTGAGTTTGCTCATTTTCGCCCACTTCGTATGCCTTATGCTTCCTACCCTGCCTTTGGCTTATACTTCAAGCGGAATTCAATCTCTCATTCGCGGCCGGAGAGGACGGCATGAATCAACTACTGTGGTGCGTAACCTATCATCGCTTCAGCTTGTACTTACTGTGTGCGTCGGCCGTCTCCATCCCACCCTGCATTCATCATGCGCTATTGTGCACTTGCTCCGCCTCGTCGTGTATTGAACCTCAGAGACTATGAGGTGCGGTCCGTGTCGTTGCCATCCCGTTTCGGAGGTGCTAACTCCACGTTATATCTATCCGTCTGCTGCGTGCACTAGCGGATTCATGTGGCTCGTCCCTTGTGATTTCCTCTTCATCTCACTCCCATGTGGATAGATGTGGTTTATCGACAATGATCCGCGCCGGATTGTGGCCTACCCAAGGATTATTCGGGCCATGGCGGCGCGTAGTCGAACACGCGGTACTGGCACCGATTTATGACATGTGCGTCTATTTCCTTTCTCTCTTCACCCCTCTCTCATCGCTCTTGCCACTCATCGTTTCCGGAGACATCTCGGTGAGGTGCGTGAGCTGCAGGCCTATAAATAGGCATTCCGCTTTCCTTCCTTGCTTTCCATACCCCTTCGTGTTTTTAATTCCTCAGCCCTCACCCATGCGCGCAGTGCCCGCTCCCTCTCACGCCAACCCTCACTCGTGCGGCTCCTAATTCCTCGGCCTCCAAGCTGTACTGAATCTACATCGCGGCCGCGCTCCGCGTCAATCCCCGCAGTAAGCCCCGATTTTCTGCCCACCATCTTTGATCCCTCTCGAAACCAAGATTTTGTGTGCACAGCCACCGAGACTTTTCTTTCTCATCTTGTGAGCTCCGTCTTCCTTTCTCCTCTTTAACTATATACTCACGAGCTGGTGCCACCGCACAGTATCTCCCAATGTTCTCATAGCGCCGCGCCCGAGCCGGCCCTTGTTCTGACTAGCTTCTCAGTCGGGAGACTTGCCTCCTCTCTTGTGCGTCTTTTCTCTATATTTCCTGTTTCTCTCACTCATGTGCATCCTCCTTCGTTATTGCACTCCTTCTCGCATTAAAACCACGGCCGCCGATAGAGAATGTTCGCGCGACTCCGTGATTATATTATGCTGTTCGGCCGCTCACGATCCCTTCGTCGAAAGCCTCCACCTGCGCAATTTATCAGCGTCGACAGCGGTACGTGCTCGTTATTGTCCTTGTTCGTTGCTCTGATCTCCGTTTTCGGATCCTTCCTTCATCCGCATGCGGTTCTACGTTACTCTCCTCAGGTGCGAAATGGTTCGTCTTTCACCATTTTTGCTTTGGATTGGCTGAATTTACTTAATTATAGGTTATCCCCGACGCGATGCAGGGACTTCGGTAGTTTCGGTGAACGCCTACTTCATTTCGGGGGTCTTATGTAGATACTCGAGGTTGTGTATTAGTACACATCTGAATATATTGATTGAAACACAAACTAAAGCGGAAGACCTAGAATTAGTGCCTCGGAGCACTGGAAATTAGTGCGTTGAAGCACTCCATATTGGTGCCTCGAAGCACTAAGGAACACCGAAAAGCACTACAAATTAGTGATATTTTGGCCACGTGGCACTATATATAAGTGTGTTCAGGTACTAATTTCAAGCGCTTTCAGCACTATATTTTGGCTGTACGGAGGCACTAATATATAGTGCTTCCACTGTCCACAGTGTCTTTTTCTCATTCGTTTTCCCCATGCTTACTGCATTCCTCCACTAAAGGAAGCTTGCCTCTCCGTCCGTCAAATTGGCGCACAAAGATAATCCCTCCACGCTTCTGTGCAATTTACTCGAGGTTCAGTTTGACTCTCCACTGTCTCGTATCGAGGAACTCGAATGTAGCATGCCAACGGTCTCGGAGCTCGACTCCCCTGTACATACAACTAGTAGCATAGGCGTTCGGCCCGTTGGCCGAACGCCTACTTGCCGCGTGAATGCCTATCGCCTGTGGATCAGCCATCATACCATCAATGGCGGCATTCCAGCAAAACACAAGTCTTTTCTTCAACAACCTCTTCAATATACCTGGTGACCTAACCAGAACACCAAACCTAACCATACCTAACCATTCTAACCTAAACTTAACCCAAACTTAACCCGCCGCGCACAGTGAATACAGAGTTCGGTGATTTAGCGAGTTTCGGCAGCCATCGGCAAATCGATCAATGCGTGATGCGCTCAAACTGATGGATAGGCGTTCGCGCCATCAATAGGCATTCCGCGCCATCAATAGGCGTTCGGTCAACGGACCGAACACCTATGCTACTAAAGTTGTCGTGCCTCCCCTCGCCCACGTCCGTCCGCAAGTTCATCACCCCTCGTAAGGATCTTGTGTTCATCCTTTCGCCTTACAGGGTGTTGCATAAAAAGATGCAGTAACAAAAACGACAAAATCGTGTTTGTATCTATTATCTGCGGCAAACTTTGTACAAACTTTACGACACGTGCTCTTCCAGACACTCTGGGGCGGGGCTTGCCTGGGCTAAGGGAGCTAGAAAGAGAGTGTAACTGACGAGGAGTTTCCTGTGCCTCGATCATTGCGCAGCATCGGCGGACAAGAGGACCCTGGGACGGTGCGAGTGTACAAGAAGTTGCGCAAAGCTTGGCGCATACACCAGAAAGTAATATGTACAAACACGATTTTGTGCATTCTGTTACTGCATGTTTTTATGCAACACCCTGTATACCTCTCCATAATCCACGCTCAAGGCCAGGTGTATCGAAAAGTCCGCAGAATTCTCGTTCACTGGCTTGACATCTTCCCGCTTACCTCTCAATCTGGGCCGTATCCAGGTTCACGCAAAGTCCGTATTCGGTTTCGTCTGCTTCGCGCTGCCGGCTCACTACTTCGTTGACTACAACCTCCTTCTGCCAGTTTCCTGCACAATCACCGGGCGTGGTGCAGGGTGCATGGTTTCTCCTCGTCAGCAAGATGTAAACGGTCAGAAGCAGACCGGGGTTCGACTCCCCGCGCCCGAGTCACGAAGCGATGATCTCTTTTTGGGGATCGGGGCGGATCTCACACTGTCGCTTGAGTTGTTGGGTCAGGGAATCTATTCCGATGGTGAATGACAGGAAACACTATCAGGTGTCGGTTTTCCATTTCCTTGTTTCAACCTGCCGCAGTTAACTAGTTCTACCCGACATGGACGTTCTCAGCTCAACACCGGACGCGATGCACCCTCTGTTACGCTAAGCTCGGCGGACATCGAACCTTAAACCTTTCCACATCGCGCCAGTCTCAAGTGTTCGATTAATTGCCCTCCACTCGAAACTTCGATACCGACAGGTTCCCTCGCGAATCGGATAACCAAATTGAACCAGAAAGTACGTTGAATGAATTGGGTAGTGGGTATTTACAGGTTTTACAATCATTCGACCAGAATTTTGAATATGAAAACACAGGAGGAAAAGCGATGTATCAGGCCAATGAGACGGTAAAACAATTCAAACATCCAAAATGCTCAGCGAATATATCGAATGGCTAACCATGCAGTCAGTCGGCAATAAATGGCGGTGAGTAGCGAAGCGGACGTACAGTGATCATATAAGTTTGTTCATGTACTTAACGCTGGCCATAAAGGTGCCTTTTCAGTGTGTCCACGCGACCGAAGGTCGTGGTGCACGTCGGGCACTTGAGACGCAATTTGAAATGCACCGACTTGACGTGCTGTACGAGCGAGTTTGATTGAACCTTCGCCGAGCACCCAGTCCAGTAGCAGCACACTTCCTTCACGCCCTCCATAATGCCATGCCTTTCCTGCAGGTGCGTCCACAAGGCACCATGCTCGGTGCTCAGCGTCTCCTCGCATCCGGGCCACCACTGACACTTGATTTCTCCGCGCAACTCGGCAGCATCTTCCGTCGCCGATTTAACCACGTCTTTGATGCGCTCGGGATGGTCTTTGTAGAGGTCGGCGCAGCGATGCATGGTGCCAGGGAGTTTTGTTGGAAATGAGGGAGATGGATGTGGGGGTAGTTTGCCGTCGGATGGGCGCCGCCAGAGTTTCTAGTGGTAAGGGCGCCGGGTTAGCACGGAAAACAACGGGAAGGAGAGAGCTGAGGCTAACGAGGGATAGGAAAACAACGGGGAATGGTCCAATGGCCTACATTCTCTGCCAGACAGACGCAGGCTCAAATACTGAGGGGGGGATGCATTGGAATGTGACGGAATGGTGGAAATTGACGTTCAGCAAGAGCATAAAAATAACAAAGAGTGGCATACGTTCTGACCCAATGACCGGTCCCCCAGTACTATTGTTTATCCACCGTACAAAATGCATGTCCAAGACAAGTGGGTGGAAGTGGGAGAATGAACCAGACGCGATACCCCTCCGGATTCCGGAAGATGCGGAGACCACCTTTCGGCCCCTTAACTCAGAGCTAAGTATTGCCTTTGGTGGCCCAAGGCAAGCAAAAGGCCTAGTGTAAAAATCTTTCAGGCCAAATCCAGGCCAAAAAGCATGGGTTTTGAGCCTCCTGAACCAAAATTCCGCCCATTGAGTTCAGTGGATTCTCCCATCTGCCCACCGAGTCGTTTAATCCCACCTGCCAACCTGGCGTGGTGACTTAGACTGAGAAGGATTAACGGTGGATCGAAGTGATGGCACGTCCTTCGCGCCTTGGTAGGTTGGTTAGCTTTCCGCTCTAGACTATTGTCTCCTTGACTTGAGTTGCCGAAACCACTTTCCACCCCAGAAACGTGTTACTGCGCAAGGTGTAAAATAGGTACATGTTGCGACGACGACCAAATCATGGTGGAATGTGTCGAAACGGAGATTGAGCGAAAAACCCCCGTGCGGCGGACGTCGTGGCCTGCGGGTGGGAATTGATGAATTCTATTTTTTTCACAACAGTTCCAATGTCTGACAGTATGCAGTAAGCTGGGCACAAAAGTGATCAATATCAAGTTCGTCTGTCGAGCAGTTTACCGAATTCCAGTGCATCCACGCACATCTACGTAGATCTATGTCATTGACATCAGTGTAGTTGGTGACTATCCTCTTTTCACACCCCATGTTCAGGCTGGGCACGAGCTGGACGGAGGACTTGTAAGCATGCATGCTCTTATCTGTTGAGTATCGGTTGGATCCAACTGGTTTCACAAGAGCGATGAGGATTCAGAAGACCTTTTGACTTTCGCCGAAATTATAGCCATATGACTTCAGGCGAAAAAGGTTCCGGAAATATACCGTGACGATGGAATGAACATTTTCCGGGAGTCGCTGACGCGCACGCTTGCGCGTGCTACTACTGGAATCCGACTTGCGCTACAGACGCCCGGATCAATCCGGTGTTGTCGGCGCCCACAAAACCAAACAAGCCCCGATGACTTACTTCCTTCCACCTCCCGTCTCATCCTCTTGCTCCCGCGAGTCAATCGCGTTGTTTTCTTTTTGCATCCCCTCGCTGCTCCACCTCTCCTGACTCATCCATTCAATTTATCGCCAGTTTCACCAATCGCGGACTACTTCTCCGATATCCCACAAATTCTACAATATATTCCCTACATTGCCTCGTCCCCTATATTCCTGTCGGATCCTGTTGAGTCTCATTTCTATTCCATTCTACTCGACTTAATTCTGGTATAAATACGCTACTCAACTCTGCAGTTAAACACTTGGTAACTTCGATAGCGACAGGTTCCCTCGTAACAAAATTGAACTGGAAAGTACATCGAGTATATTGGGCAGTGGGTAGTTACAGGTTTTACATTTATTCGACCAGAATCTTAAATATGAAAATACAGGAGGGAAAACGACGTATCACGTCTTTTGAGACGGTGAAACAATCAAACACCCAAATTGCCGCCTTAGCGGGTATGTCGGATGGCTAACCATGGAGTCAGTCAGTTATAAATAACAGTGAGTAGCCAAGCAAACGTACAATGATCATATCAGTTTTGTTCAGGCACCCAACGCTGGCCGGAAAGGTGCCTTTTCAGTGTATCCTCGCGACGAAAAGTCATGGGGCACGAGGGGCATTTCAGACACAAATCGAAGTGTACCGACTTCAGGTGCTGAACGAGCGAGGTTGATCTAATCTTCGCCGAGCACCCAGTCCAGCAGCAATGCACCCGCGTGCCCTCCAGGACGCCATGCATATCCTGTAGGTGCTTCCACAAGGCACCATGCTCGGTGCTCACCGTCGCTTTGCATCGGCGCAACTCACACTCGATTGCTCCGCGCGACTCTGCAGCATATTCCTTCGCCCTTTTAACCGCGTCTTTGATGCGCTCGGGGTATTCTCTGTAGAGGTCTGCACAGCGCTGCCTGCAACTAGTAGCAACGGTGACGGGTTAGGACGGAAAATAACGGGAAGGAGAGAGATAAGACTAACGCGGGAGCGGGAGCGGGAGGGAAGGCTAACCGCGGCGCCGTGAACTTTCGGAGCTCCCTACGCAAATGCCTAAGCAGAAGTTAAACGAATGCAATGCCGTGAATCAAGAAAAATAATCACTCCTCGAGGGGATCGAGGGGATCTCCAGGGGCACTCCCTTGCATGGCGCCTTGGGATAGAGTCAGCACATGCGAGAGAGGGAGTTTAGAGACTCACTGTGCGTAGGCGATGTGGTATTTTCCATACGTGGCAGCTTTAAGCATTGGGACTCGGGAGGATTTACAGAATGGTGGAAATTTGACGTCTAGCAAGACCAGAACGATTCTTAGAAATAACAGAGAGCAACATAGGTTCTGTCCTCACGGCCAATTCATGAGTGAGGGGTCCCTCGCAGCGGCGGAAGGACGTGAATTTCCGGGTCTGGAGGGACTTGTTTTCTGCATTGAGAATCTCCTGGGGCATGTTAGGATAGCGTTGGCGTTTCACAGCAGTCCCTCTCAGAAACGTCGAGCGTTTGCTTGTGTGGAAGATGATTTGGTTGCGGAGAGAAGCTAAAACTACAAATTCGTCTTTCGCGTCTTTCACAAGACGTGAAAAACGTGAAAGACATATTTTTGATCAAAACGTCTCATCTCCAGAAAGTACCATTCACGGTTCATGTGAAAGATGCGGGCTCCATTGATATTCCATCTTCTGCTCATTGATCTCGGGGATCTCAATCTCAATAGACAATATGAATCGGTGGGAGTCCGAGGCTGAAAGACTGCGAAAGATGTGTCCCACAAGATGCAAGCTCTGTTCACATGACAAAGACGTTCGAAGATGACCTTGAAAGACCCAAGATATGAAAGACAAAAGTGTTGAGTTGATGCTCACAACGATCTCAAGCGCTTGTCTGCCGTCCCGTCATTGAACGGTTGACCGCCGTCTTTTTGCCGTCCCTTACTGTCTCGGCGTCCGAAAATTGGAAGTCAGCAGCGTCTGTACCGGTCTCGCGTCACAATGCAAAGGCCGTCCGCAGTGGGAAGTCCTACCAGATCACAACTAGTCTGCGCTAAGTTCGGAAGACGGACCTGGACTTACCGGTAGATCATGCCTGCACGAATGCATACAACTTTGTGGGGACAGGCGACACCGCTGATCTTTTTTACCTGGCCAGTAGGATGCCAAATTTTCATTCTGTGCCTGAGGAATCAGGGCTGCCCACCGTCCACGTTTTTACGGGTGTGATAGGTTCCGTAAACAGCAGACCGTCCCGTCCCGTCGACAGCTTGTCTAATTAAATTGAAGGGACGGATACGAGACGGTAGTTATGCCGTCCGTCCCATCAGAGTGCGGCCGTTGACGGCTGTAGACGGGTAGGATATCGAATGTACAGTTTGAATCAAACTCATCGTGTCGTGATCTGTTCCACCCTCGACCACCACAACTTACGATACTCTTCAGAGTACCTCAAATAACATCAGTCCCTCTACCACGGTCTACAGAACTGTCCACAGATCGCGGTTGGCGGCGGCCTTTTTGCTGTCCCGTCCCGTCTCGAGGTTCATATAATCGAAAAGACAGCCCCTTTTTTTGACAGCCCGTACCGTCTCGGCATCAATGATTGATTGGATGGCCGTATAAATTTGACGGGCCGG